AGAATGTTTCATTGAATTAGTAACAGCTATGTAACAAGAACAAAGGGAAAGGCGTTGTCCTACTTGAATGGCCTATTCAGGAAGAGTGGGCGTAAAGTCGCCAGTTTAGTTTCGCTGCGGATGAAGAGGCGTATCAAGCAGTATGAGTTTGGCGCGCTGCCAAACCCGCATTCTGCATTAGCTGTTGAAGCGAATTAGCGAAAGACTGTATCACATCGTTTGTATCAGGTATTTTCCACCAAATGGTATTGCTACCTACCTGAACAACTGGTGGAGAGTGGATTTAAGGGCATTCCAATCTCACCCCTCCTGAGCCTTTTATCCGCAGCGGACCCGCAGAACTTTCGGCACTTTTGGCAGGCGCCATCGAACTTTACGCCGCATGGCACTATAAGACAATGGCCGTTTTCGCTGCAGATGCTAGGGCGTGCCAGGGGCTGGGTTTGGCGCGGGGCCAGCCCGTCTTGTACTTATTGTGGTTGCTTACCTGTTTCAACACGTGTCTCCCTGACCTGTTCCACCGTCTGCGCTGCAGATGTGCTACATCTAACGGGACAGGGAAATGGTATTAGCAGCACCTCAAACCAAATTGAAATCGCAATAAGGGGCAGTCCGGCGAAAAGCGGTGGGAGGGGGGCATTATGCACTGGTGTCGACCCATCTAGAGAGCCAAGTCTCGAGTTAACAAATTTTACCATAATGACGTGACGAGCTTGCCCCAGTCTTACAAGAGTTCAAAGGTTACAGTAGAGTGAAACTTGTAAACCGGAACTAGTGAAGCAACGAATGTGCAAAATGCTCTCTCCCCCTCCGCCCCCCCCCCCCGTCGACGAAGTATCAACTAACAGAAACCCCTCGCCTAAACTAGCGACTGAATCTGAGCGTTGAACCTGAATGCCTTTGGTCATCAAGAAACAAGCCAGTATTGTATCTAGTTGGCCATTAGATGTTTGAGTTTTCGGTGAGCCAATAGCCAATTCATACAACAGAGACTGCATCGATTTTCGGATTTCAAGACCTGGCATCGATGACCGATGCCAGGTCTTAAAATAAGAAAGAGTTAAGGATCTTGGCTTGGTACTCCCTTATAGTTTCTTTATAATGAAGTGAGTGCTCTGTAAAATGGCGACCACTGGTCTAAAACCCAGTACTTACCAGCTAAAATCTTCAGCTGTCCTTTTAGTGCTTTGAAAAAAAGGCTATATATGCATGCGGTACCTGAGCAAAATATGAGGTTGGCGGGAAAGTTCTATCACTTTTTCGAACTCAAAATATTTGTCCATTACCTGAAGAGGGGTGAACGGTAATGTGAGCACTTATACATCAAAGAGTAGTCTTTCTATTAGTACTACTCGCTCGATTCCTGCTTCTTCTTCTTCTGCAATATGGACAAGAATGTTATCCGCTACCATCGCCACCAACCCCTCCAAATGCTTCTGATAGTGTAGCGCACTTCCGAAAAAGTTCTAGACGTTCTTCGTGCAGTAGAGCTGGATGGCTCTCATTAAGATATTGCCCTATAAACCGAAGCAAACCCTTCATCCCAGCTTCTGCCGTCATAAGGAGGTGAAGACATCCAGCATCGCTGGGAGCTCGAAAAGCTCTACAGTGTTTTGTACAGTGCCGGCGTAATATCCATTCTTTGGGCTAACACTCTGATACTGGAAGGCACCAGACACCGAGCTGTGCGGACATCCTGGCTATATTTTGAATTCTGTTTTCAACCCTTTGATCATGTTGACGCTGGGTTCCCTAACACATACATCTAAACATGCCAGGGTTGAGCGAAATGTACCAATTAAATGCCTAAAATATCCTATTACCTTATCACGTAAGCTTTTCGAAGTTTTCGAAGGCAGCAGAGACATTTGGTCGGGTACTTTTGAAGCTCAGAAGATCTGCCTATCACCTACTTTTCAAATTCAATCAACCCATTTCTGATTTTTCTGATGTTCTTGGCCTAAAGCTCAACCGTATCAAAACAAACAGTCGCTACTAATCGAACTTCTCATTGTTCTAAACGGGTCTGTCCGTTGCCGTGTATATTCTGATGTTCCCTCAGTATAGCTCAGCCTAGAGTTCTCAGGAATAGCACATTGTGTTCCTTTGAAACACTTTGTATTCATCATCTGTTCACTTAGAAGTTCTCGCTTTCTTCTTCTCATTTTCTCACTTGCAATAAGGAACTTCATGTTTTCTGCTTCTATGTTAATGTGCTAGTTGCATGCAAAGGCAAGCGTGGCGGAGAGAAATTGCCTTTGCTCAACACAACCCCTCCCCTTCGCTGTGGAGCATAAACACGACCCTCTGCAATGGGATGTTACGGCATGCTTTATCCCAGTTGTTCAGTCTTGGAGATGGATTTCTGCATAACTGCACAAACAAGTTAATTTTTCTTCGCCACGGTGCAATCATGCAAAACTGTTTTCAAGAAGAATACTTCTGTCACTTCTCTTTCTCTAAAGGTGAGCTGCCGGTTGGGAGATCCAGCTGCAACGACGCTTGCGAATTAGCTGGTATTTCTTGATTGGTTGACGTGTTGAAGCCTTTCCAATAAATCAATTACGTTGTGGTGCGAACCAGCGCCCGCGTCGCCATTTTCGTTTCGTCGCGCGACGTGTATTACCCAACTGACAACCTCAAAACTTTGTAGTGAGTGCTGGTACAGTGAAACTTGCTGCGATTTTGTGACGTTAATGCTTTGAGTTAAAAACGCCATATGTTGCTACCTTCGGTTATGTTTATATTTCATAATAAATAGTGGGCCTAGAGGCTTCGCTTTAAATGCTCACACTGTAAGATATTATGAATGTTGTGACACTGTAAGTAAATACGATTTTATATTTGGAAACAAGCAAAATTGTTGTGTAGATGGCCATGGGGGAGACGCGTAGGGTGGTCGCGTCTCACAGGTAGATCGCGCCCCTCCCGTCGAGATCTGTGGAGGCGCGCCCCTCAGGCAAGGTAGTCGTTCTGTGGCCCCCCTCAGGCAAGACAGGGGAGGGGCCTTCGGGTATATAAGGAGGAGCTGTAAGACTGAAACAGCTCTCTCTACGATTGCCAACTTCTTCGTCGACTGGTGTTTCGTCCTCCATCGGCCACGTCGTCACGCAACCGATCCGCGGCAAACTTCGGGCGTCGTCGTTGCAACTTCGACACTTCCTGCTCCTTTAGGATCTCATTTCTTTCTTTGTTATATTTTGTTCTCTTGCAGATAAACTATATTAACCCAGCTGTCGTCACTCGGTAAAGAAGTAACCGCTTAGCGCCCATGAGACGGCGACCAGGAGGAATATCTATTTTATTGTGGTGAGTATTTCGAGTAGTAAATATGTTTATTCCCAGTGTAGTTATGTTTAACATGTTGGTATTGCCATCGTTTTGTACATGTAGGTGTGTTGTATTGCGTGAGTAATGCGTACGTATTAGACCATGTGTAGGTAGGGTTGGGTACCCTGGTCCTTGTCGTCTAAGCTGTTGGGGCGGTTGCATAGGCGGTAAGACCCCATGGTCCCCGAGGGGTGGTCCGCTCCTCCTGTTAGGGGGCGCGAGGAGTGTAGTGGGCCCGATGGGGCGTCCGACTGGTAAGTCGGCGCACCGGGAGTTTGAGTGCGTTGACCTCCGATGTCGATCGCACATACGGGAGTGGTGCACCCGTCCGCGACACCGGTCCTGCTGGCAACTCGTAACGCTATGTGCGCTCTGTGCAATCTCTGGACCACATATCGTTTCTTCGCATCTTCCAGTACGGGATGCCGTCCAGTACTAGAAAAAAACGAAAGCTGAAAACGATGAACAGAAAGCAGCTTTCGTTTCGAAAACCTGAGTAGGAAATTGGGACTGTGATTGGAATTGGGACGGTAAGCAATTCACGACGAGTCTTTGCACAAATCGATTGCACCGCTGCTGAATGGAAGCAGCGCTAAAAAGCGTCTTGCCGTATGAAGCAAACTGCTGTTGCTTGCTCATTTGAAAAAGGTACCCAGAAAGAACAGAACCACTCGTGAGCGAAAAAGAGTGGACAAGCTTAGATTTTATGCAAAGGTTATGTAGAGTCGTCCTACGACGCTACAGGCAACGGAAAGCATACACATAGTTTAGCCTGTAAGTCGTTGTCTGGCAGAGTGGAAAGAACAAAGTGTGCAAGAGTCACGTTTATCCGTCTTTCCGAGTGACGAAAGTGGTACACTCTCTGCGAGTGCGGTCATGGGTGCCAAATGCTCCCAGGCACTGGGGGATCGCGGGAACTGCCTTTAACTACTGCGTTCCTGGAACTCATCATTGCGAGGCGCCCTAGTCGCGAATCAGGAGCAGGCGGGCGGTTATGGGCGACTGAGGGGCCGTCAGTTACGACAAATAGTAGTTTTGTTATCCGGACGAGTCACGAACTCTGAACTGAAATCTGCCAGTGAGCGCTCCCATAAGCATTCAGGGCGCGTCAGTGGCAATGTTATTGGGGGTATGTGACGAGAGGATCGTAGCGACACCCGCGGCCGCAAATAACGATGTTTCCAGGCAGTAGATGGCAACAACAGGCAATACAGAATCGAAAATAGTTATGGAGATTCCTCTATTTTGTGGTACCGATTTATGTTCTGCTAGTCTTTCTTGCTGTCAATAGGCTTGATCGGTATTGGAATTTCGAAATATTGAGTCACATTACATGATATCCGCTTATCATCTTTTAATCTGTCACTTCGAAGCCGGCTCCGCCCATTTTGTCCGAATAAGAGGGTGGGCGGGACGTCCCTTCAACTCGTATTATCTTGCCGATTGGAGCACTGGATTTCACGTCGGCTACGAAATTGTGGGCATTTATGACCATTTTCGGTTCTACATTATATGTTGCCGCCATCTGTGACTTGGAACAATTGTCACTCCTCCCGACGTCGCACGTGACGCCCATCAGCGCGACGAATTACGATTCTCTTGTCACGTACAGCTGTTTTCAGACACCGGCCTTTTCTACATATAATTCTGTTTTCAAGCTCGTCTCTACGATGCGCGCCGGCCAACTGAAAAGTGAATGGCTCAGAGCTGAAGAGATAGTGCAGCACGTGGAACTTGGTGATCTTCTTGAATTTAGAAGAGTACTAAATATAGCAGGCGTACCAGCAAACTACATACTAAATATAGCAGGCGTACCAACAAACTACAAGGTTTGTGCGACTGAAGGCACTTGAATCTACGTATCTTCCAATTCGGGGGAGATTTCAAGGATTTCCAGCACTGGGCAGTGTACATAGGGCGCCACGAGGGTCTGCCTTTTGTCATACACCTCTCTGGTAGCGAAGGAGATTCCGGCAGGACAGGCTCAAGCAAATTCGATTCTTTCAGCAGCGGACCAGCAGAGGCCAAAGCCGAGGTTTGCATTTTCGTATTTGCCATGAAAAGGTTTTTGATATCTGAAATAAATTATTCATCTGACTACGTCCTTGTAGGTGCGTCGTGATCCACTAATGGCAGTGTCCGGTAAAGATCGGGTACGGATCAACAACGCGTTTGATGCTTACCGTCAACCGTTCCCTCCGAAAAGAGTTGTAGAGCGAGCTACACAAGAGGTATAGCTGAGACAGATTTGATTAGTGAGCACTGGGTGCGAGTCAGGAGATCCGAGCCGCAGTAATGGGCCAAAACTGGATCATTGGTAATCAGGGCATCGTTTTGAATCGCTCGAGGGGGGGGGGAGCCCGTATTTGACTATCCACAGCCTTGGAATACTCCAATGGGCCAAGGGTGGGGGAGCCGTACCTGGTCCTTAGAAGATTCCCTATAATAGTTGGCGGCGCAGTCGAAGTGTTGTACAACTACTACTGTTGAAAATAATAGATTGGCAGCCCCCGCCCTCTTCCACACGCCCCACTTGGATAAGAACTGGAAAAGTTTTGAAAAGTGCCAAAAGAAGTAGTAGGAAGTCGAAAAAGTTCAAGAGGATGGCAGGATGGTAGATGGAAAAGGGGAAGAGAGCCGGGTAGTCAGAAGAGGAAGCTTGCATAAGGGGGTCGTACTTTGTCAAAAGTTAAGGTTGTTTTCAACCGGACAAGCTCTCGCCGCGTCGGTCTAGAGGTATTTTATCATGGTACCTACTGGCCCAGCAATTTAAAGGATAAGGCAAAGGAGGAGGGAAGAGAGAGGGAAGGAGGGAATGAGGATAGAGAAAGAAAAAAGGGCCTCTCGCGCCGTTATCTGATCTTCTGGCCCGTAAGCAGCGTTTTGTTTAGAGCTTATCGGTTTTCCACCGGGTAACCGGTGACAGCGCCGAAGGTGGAGGGGTGAAGTCCACTCCGAAGCTGGAGGTAGCCCGAGCGCCGGCCACGAACCGGCCGATGTCCATACCCTGCTCCCGACTGGGAGCAGCCTCCACTCCAGTCCCGACGAGGACATCAACGATCGCATGGAGCAACGAGGTGTCGTCGGCAAGATGGGGCATATACGTTATTGCGTCCAAGGAGTGAAACCTTAGCAGGCCTATTGCGTACTCGGAGGGGCAGAGCCCAGGGGGGCCTATTGCGCAGTCAAGCTATGGAACAAAATTCGCCTGCCAGTATTAGCTACGTATCACGGGCTGGCAGCTGGTGCCGGTCGGGTTTCACGGGTAACCGGTGACAGCGCCGAAGGTGGAGGGGTGAAGTCCATCCGAAGCTGGGGTAGCCCGAGCGCCGGCCACGAACCGGCGCGATGTTCCATCCCCTGCTCTCCGACTGGGAGCAGCCTCCACTCCAGTCCCGACGAGGACATCAACGATCGCATGGAGCAACGAGGAGTGTCGTCGGCAAGATGGGGGCATATACGTTATTGCGTCCAAGGGGATGAAACCTTAGCAGGCCTATTGCGTACTCGGAGGGGCAGAGCCCAGGCGGGGGCTCATTGCCGCAGTTCATGCTTAATCGGTGCCCTGATCACAAATATGGCATTCACTTTTAGCTCTGACGCTATTTGCCGTAACACCCTTTTCATTGAAATTGATGAAAATCCGCGTAATGGGGTTTCCGTTGTCACCAAAATGGCATTCATTTTCCGATTCAGCGCTCTGCTAGGGCTGGGCCTGGGAGAAGGATTGCCTTCGGGCCAGGCCCAGCCTCAGCGGAGCGTAGACGACCGTGCAATGTTGTATTAGTGCCTGCACCAGGAATGAAGGTTATGTTCATGATCAGGATCTCAAATAGCCTGCAAGTTTTAATCGATTTTTGTGATCGAGAGCGTTTTTGCGCCAGCGCCTGTGGTGCGGGCACCAGTTTTTCGGGGCAATTAGAAACAAAGAGTAACAAATATTGGGGAAAGGGATACACTCCAAAACACAGATGATCCGTTTCGCCCGTTATCGCACAATTTTAGTATATGTTCAGGAGTGAACAAGCGTGTGTGGATATGGTCAGGGGTCAGAACACCCTCCTGGCCATGTTATCGGCGAATTTGGTGATTAGCGCATTTCGGCGCTGGCGCCCATGGAGCAGCGCTAGCTAGTGCTTGGGTACGGATTCGACACTTGAGTTAGGGAGGTCGAAGTACCCATGGAAACAAATTTTTAGCCGACTCTGCCCTCTCAGGGGAAAATCGGTAAAAAACTGGCTAGGTGCCTGAAGATTAAGGTTGTAATTTTGACTAGTGCCCACACCTGAAAGATCATGAAGTCAGTTGCAAAGCAGAGTGACTGCTTTTAGTCCACATCATTTTCATTTGAATTGCGCTGACGATGTGTATGGAACTCTGAAACTGGCTAACTAATCTTCAATTCATGTTCTTCTCATCAAAACGCCATTGCGGAAGGTATGCAACCTCGAAAAAGACTAACTGATCTTTAACTAAAGTCCCGGTTAACGAGGTTCGTGCTCTAATCGCTATTGGAAGCGCGAATCACCCAATGAATGGCAAAATGACAGGAGCGCCGCGGTCGATACGACCGCGCCCTGGCCCATCTGTGCCCGGTTCCCACGGCGTGCGATTCACGTGCGCCGTGGCTCCGCCCCCTGCGTTTCAGCGGCGCGCAAGTTGCATTTCGCCGCGCGCAAGTTGCATTTTGGGCTGTGTAGCAAGGAATAAGCCTTTCCTACGGTCCCGTACTCGGACCCCGTGCAGTTCCAGGCGGGGAAACACGACACATCGACAGTGGGGGGCTGTTAGTCTCATACACCCTCAATGTGTTTGAGCGTACCATGTGTCTTTAAGCGCCAGCAGGCGCCGACTTAACACCAACACTTTCCTTACAATAGCGATGATAAAAGCTTGATCTAGGCACGCTTATCTTAAATCTCTACCCGTCCAGACTTGCAGACTGTGTATGAAATAGGGTGAAAATTCGTTAGATGATGAATGTATGGGTGGTCAAGGTTGGAACTCGAAAGTTCTCACCTGTTACTATGATTACACTTCTATTGCATGACTCGCTTCATGACATTTCAATTGTTGTCGGAGTATGGTGCTTTCCCGGAGTCTCATTACTTATCTGAATGTGTAATAACAATGTAAAACTCCAAAAATTTATTCCAAAAAATATTATGTTACTACACATTTAGATCTGTTAATTGTGTCCAACTTCTCTTTTCGTGACACCTCAGCATGTTTTGAACGTTGATATTCTTCTTTTCTACTGTGCCAACGAAATTGTTAAGTGGAACTATTCATCAATGGATCATCTTCCCTTTTACTTGTTTCACACACTTCTTCCATCCTTTCCACCCCCCCCCTCATCGCTCCGCCTCTTTTGCGCGGTCATGGCCGCCCCTCCACGAGGCCTGAAATGGCCCTCAACTAGTTGTTTCCGCTACGCCAAATGTGGGAAACGAACTTTCCCGGGCCACCAGCGCATGAGTGGAACGTCACCCTGTGTTGGTTGTGGTTTGGTTAAGTGAGAGAGCTGTTCCTATATAGGGTGTATAGCGAGGATTTGAGCATCTTACTATTGCTTGAAGTGATGAAATATTGAGATAAATTCATACTTCGCGGCAGCATCCACCAGCGACCAATGGCGTCCACCACCGTTTCGAGTGTCCGGTAGCATCAGCGACTAGGAAGTTATAGATATTGATCTAGAGTCTGCTAGCGTCTACCAGCGTCTACTAGCGTCCGGGAATGAAAAGTATGGTGCGATAGGAGGGTAACAGACGGCTGGTGGAGAGCATGGCGCGATGGGAGGTAGCAGACAGCTCGTACCCTCCTATCGCACCTTCCTCTCCACCAGCGGTCTGCTGCCGGTCTCTGAAGGACGCTAGCAGACGCTGGCACACGCTATATTGATATCTACATTTCCTAGCCCTTGAGACACTGCTAGACGCTGCTGGACGTTGGCAGATTCTTGGTCCGCACCTAAATAATGCTAGCCGCTGGTCGGACGATTGGGACGCTGGTGGACGCTGCCGCAAAGCATGAACGCAGCTTAACCCATCGCGTTGCGAGCTACTGAAATAGTGAGAGCGCAAACCTAACTATACCCTCTATTAGGAACACCGTAATATGTCTCACTTACTAGCCACAATTAATCCCAGTAGCATCATTCCATCTGTGCGTTGGTAGTCTGGGTAAGTTCTTTCCTCCCATTCGGCATTTTGCTCCTTGAGTTTCTCGGATTGCTGGAGAGTTGGAGGGGTTCAACAGAGTAGAGGGAGCAGCTGCGAAACCTTGAGCCATGTTTAGGCCTAGGAGGATGGCCATCTAGTCGGAACGTCAAGCCACCAGTGAGTAGATCCACTCAACATCGTTGGCACAACAGAGGAAGAACAATAAGTCACAGTTGTATTTGCTTTGTACGTTTTATAGTGCAATCGTATTGACACTGATATGCCATGACAAAAGATGATGCGCCTTTTCCGAGTTCAGCACTTCTTCCGAAACACCTAAAGGCACTCCTCACGATCAAGTAATACGAGCAGTGGATGTTCAGTTGGGAACCTTAAGTCAACAAATGACCAACCAGCGGATAAAGAAGCAAAAAACGCCTGAACAAAACCCTTCTCTAATAGTCATACAGCCTCATTGAATGAGCTCTCCGGTTGTCGCGGATGCGACGGTCGCCGTTGGGCGCACCTCGCGCCCCGGGGTCGCATCTATTCCTACAGCGTCCGCGCAACGCGTGTCGACCGCGGCGCTCCTGGCATTTTGCCATTCTTTGGTGATTCACGCTTCCAATAGCGATTAGAACGCGAACCCCGCTCCGCTATCTAATTCAATTGAAGATCAGTTAGTTGTTTCAAAGTTGCATGCCTTTCGCAATTGCGCTTCAATGAGGAGAACGTGAATTGAAGAGCCGTTAGCCAATTTCAGAGACCCATACACAACGCAACGCATTTGAACGAGAAGGACAGAAAGCATTTGCAGGTAGTAATGGCAATAGGTAACACATGAAAACTGCACTGCATGACGCTCTTCCTGCATAGGAAGAGCGTCATGCAGTGACACGAGGACGTATCTGCATATATGGGTACTATTCAGCTATTATTACCTAAGAACTCGAAAAAAAGGACTGCTGGAACTTCGCCTATACGGATTACTCGATGCCCTGGTCAGAAGTATGATATTCTCTTTCGATGCGCGCATTTAAAGACACATGGTACGCTCAAACACATTAAGGGTG